CTTCGGGTTCACGTCGCCGCTGGCGCCAGCGTGGATGGTCTTGCCCTTCCATGCGCTCTTGCCTCCACTGGCGGACTTGCCGCCGCCGCCCTTTCCCTGGTGGACATCCATAAGCATCGCTCGGTGGGTAGCAGCCAGGGCGGGCCAGGGCCTCCATTCCTCCTCCTCCTCCTCCTCCTGGAGCCCGCTCCCTCCTCCTCCTCCTCCTCCTCCTCCTCCTCCTCCTCCTCCTCCTCCTCCTCCTCTTCCTCCTCCTCCTCCTCTCCATCGTCGCCCTCGCCCTCAACCGTTCGACGCGATTCGCTGGGCCGGGAAAGGCGCAACCAACGCTGGCAATTGGCCAAGATACCATCGAGCGGTCTGGAGCCGAAGACCGCGTGCCTCGGCCCGACCCAGATGGCTCGGAGGCAGGGCTGGCGAAGTGGTAACCAAGAGCGCGCGAGTTGGGCGCGAGTGGCCGCGACCAGCGGGTAGGGACGCGCAAGATTGCCCTGCCGCCGGCCACTAGCAGGCTCCATCGTTCGACGCGGTGGCCCCGTCTTTCCTGTCACGAGCCCTGGGGCCCTGGGAACGGGTTCTTAATAAGCGTCGGGGGGGCGCCACCCCCGCCGACAGCCCCACATCGACCCCCGTCGCGGGCAGCCACCGCGCACCGAAGGCGCTCCGACCCCCGCCGCGCGCGTCGACGAGGCGAGGTTGACCCCCGTCGGGGGGTACCCTCCCACGCTTATTGAGAAACACAGAGTACCCACGGGCTCCCCTCAACTGGCTTTCCACCCCGAGTCGCCTCTCGACGGAGGTCGAAGACGGCCGAAGCGTCACGAGGACCCCTCTGGTCTGGAGGGGAGAAGCGCCCCTCTCCCTGGGAGGGCCCCCCCCTCCACGAGACCGGCCGGCGGGGGCCGCCACCACGGACTCTCGCACGCCTGGCTGGCCCGCGATCTTCGGTCAGTTGCCCCGTCGCTGGTCGAAGCGATCGCAGCGTCTAGGCTCTCGCGCCGACAAGAGAGAAGAGCACACGCGTGGGTCAAGCCCGCGGTCCTCCTCCCCCTCCTTCTCCTCCTCCTCCTCCTCCGCCTCCTCCTCCTCCTGCTCCTCCTCCTCCTCCTCCTTCTCCGCCTCCTCCTCCTCCTCCGCCTCCTCCTCCGCCTCCTCCTCCTCCTCCTGCTCCGCCTCCGCAGCAGCAGCAGCAGCGCGGAGGGAGTTGCTGGGGCTGCGGGCGGCGGGAGCGCGCTCAGGGGGGCGCGGGGGGGAGACGCAGTTCCCTGGGCCGTTCCCTCAAAGGGGGAGGGGCTCTTCCGCCCGTTGGCTCCTGGGCCCCTTGGGGGCCCTCGCCGTCCTGACCCCCCCGAGTGCCCGAGACTCGCGAGGGGCCGGGCGCTGTTGCGGGAGGCCCACCTGGTCGGGAGCGTGGAACCCCTCCTTCTTGGCGGCCGCGCAGAGATAGTTGCTGGGGTTGCGGATCTCGTCCACTTTCTCCTCGATCTCCTCGGCATCTCGGGCACTGACACAGTTGAGCAGGGACCGACCGTCCAGGCATGCCTGTAGGCCGACCACGAATTGCTCTTAGAACCGAAAATGTTCTAACAACAAAAACGATGTTCTTAGAACATAAACCCGATGTGCTAAAACAAGACAGTCCCAGCCAGAAATGTTCTAAGAACATTTCGTGCAAACCACAAAGAAGGTCTGAGAACATGACTTGGTGGGCCTACAGGCGAGCCAGGACGCTTCGCCACTGCTTGGCACAGGCTGTGCCAGCGAGGGGTGCCCCCGGCTCGTGGGCCAGGCGTGGTGGGGGGAGTTCCGCGCCCTGCTGGGCCTCGCCTGCGGCCTCCCGGGGCCTCCCCGACAGCCCTGGGGACACCTGCGCCGAGATCACCTCTGCCTGGCGGCGCGCACTCTGAGGGGTGGACGGGAGGGGGGGGAGGCGTCTTAGAAGGAGGCTGCTTCCTAGAAGGCGCGGGCCTTACACCTGTGGATGAGGCCCGCGCCTTCCGAGAGGCAGGGGTGCTTCTGAGAGAAGCCCTCCCCCCTCCCCCCGCACCCCCCTCTGCGCGTGGCCGATCTGTCACGAAAACGAGACCTGCCCAGCGAGACTTGTCTTCAAACGGTGCCTGCACCAAGGGTTCCTGCCTTCGCTTTGCTGCCCCGATACGCAACACGCAACACGTATCGTGTTGATACGGAGCTCAACACATGGGCTGAAAAGTAGGTCCGACGCGATACGTTCGCCAAAACGTGGTCGAATACGTGGAGCCAACACGCAACGTGTTGACACGAACGTCTTGAACACAGGGCGTGTTGCGTTTCAAAACGCGCGTCTCGAGGCAACTAAGTACTTGGGCTTTGAATACTTGGGTGGGTGGGCCGGATGTTCGTCCAGTGCCCGATTGGCGGCCGCCCGTGGGCGCCTCGAGGGAGCCCCATGCGCAGGGTGGGTGCGTCGAGGTCTCGCCTGGTGCCCATGGGCGGCTCGTTGGCGCCTCGCGCGGGGGTGGGCACCACGTGGCTTACACCACAGAGCTTGCACAGCACAGCTTACACCGCATAGCCTGCACCGCATGGAGTGCGTCACACAGCTTGCACCACATAGCCTTCGCCTCGCAGCGTTCACCACATAGATGTTACACCACACGGAATGCACAGCATGCATAGCTCAGAGTACACTACATGGCTCACATCACATAGCTTGCACAGCTGATATTACACCACATACCTGGAACCACATAGCTTCCGCCACTTAACCTACACCGTATAGCTTGCACCACATAGCTTGCACAGCAGAGCTTACACCACATTGCTTGCACAGCATAGCTTACACCACACAGCCTGCACTACATAGCTTGCATCACGTAGTTCTCACATCCACAGTGCAACAACTCACTGTTTGGCGAGAGGTGCCCCCCGAAAGGAATTCCCCGCGGGCTCCGCTCTGCTTATCGCCTCCCGCCCCAGCGTCTGCCGGTCTCCTTAAACAGCGCCATGGCCCTGGCGATCCCCATACCCGCCACGGCATTGACTGCGTCGTTGTTGATCTGGCTCTCGGTGAACACGTTGTGGTTCAGCCAGGTGGCCCTCTTCGCGATTTTGTCGAACTCGTCATCGCCGCTGCTCCCTTTGCTCTTGCCCTTGCCCTTGCCTTGGGGCCCAGAAGACAAGGGGCGTCACAATCACAAAACGGAGGAGAACAGAGGACGGAGGAGAGCTCGGCCTCCAGCTTGCAACAGCTGGGTGGGGAGTGCCAGGATACCTGGAGAGAGGCGCCAGCCGCGGCAGCAGAGCAATCAAGATGTCGCTGCGTGTGCAGAGAAGCTGGAACATGTGGAAGGTGGAAATTCCATGAAAGCGTAAGTGGCTAGGGCTGGAAAACTGGCAGGGGCCGAAACGAGCCCGAAGCAGTTGGGACGAGGTCGCCCTGGCTGTAGGACAGACCAGAGGGGAACTGGCCATGGCTGGACAGAGTGCAGAGGCTGGCCCCAGTCACTTCTCTCAGCTTCCCCATCTGTATCCCTCTGCGAGCACCTCCCCTCCCCCCTGCCTGTGAGCACGAGCAGCATGTTTCCAGCGCTTTTCGCGCAGCTTCTCTGAGATGCGTGGAACCGCGCGCTCTGCCGCCTGCGCGTCCTTCCGAGCGCTTGGCTCCGTGGTGGTGGTGGCCAGAATGCCACTGGCAGTCAGTGCACCGCAGGCTCCTGCCACGACGACTCGATCGCTGGCTTCTGCGACACCGCGTGGCTCGCTCAGCAACGAGCCATCGCGCCGCACCCACGGCGCAGACCGCTCGATGCCGGCCAGCTCTGGGCCACCGGCGGCAACCCACCTGGAACGCCCGCGCCGGGGCCGCGGCCGCGTCAGCGCGGCGCGCGAGCATGCCACGCACCCCCGCACCGGGGCCTCCTCGCCACCCTCCCGCCCCATAATTGTGGCCCCGCGGCCTCCGCCCCCCATGGCTGCAGGAGTGGCGCGCGCGCGCCGTGAGGCCGCGGTGGCCTTCCGCGGAGGCCCCTTGATCCTGCAGCGCCCCCTGGGGAGGGAAGGGGAGGAGGGCGGACGGGCGGAGCGGCGGAGCGGGCGGGGAGGGCGGGGGGGGGCAGGCGGAGGATCGGAGGGGGGAGGGCCGGAGGACGAAGAGAGGGGGGGGGAAGGGGGCAAGAGGGGGCGGAGCAAGAGGAGGGAGGGGAGTGGAGAGAGCAGGCGAAAGGCGGAGGCGGGAGGCCGAGGGAGGGGAGGAGGCGGGAGGGAGGGAGGGTGGAGCGAGGGTGGAGGAGCGGGCAGGAGGGAGGACGGAGCAGGGAGGACTGGGAGCGGGGAGAGCGCAGAGACGATGCCCGCCTCCCCATTCTCGTCCTCATCCTCATCCCAGCCTCCGTCGCCGCGCCGCCTTCATCCTCCTCCTCCTCCTCCATCCATCCATCCATCCATCCATCCATCCATCCGTCCGTCCGTCCGTCCATCCATCCATCCATCCATCCATCCATCCATCCATCCATCCATCCATCCATCCATCCATCCATCCATCTCCTCCTTCTCCTCCTCCTCCACCTCCTCCTCCTCCTCCAGCTCCTCCTCCTCCACCTCCTCCTCCTCCTTCTCCTCCTCCTTGATCCTCCTCCTCCTCCTCCACCTCCTCCTCCGCCTCCTCCTCCTCCTCCTCCTCCGCCGCCTCCTCCTCCTCCTCCTCCTTCAGCATCCCCCTCCACGCAAGGGCTCGCCGCCCTGCCTCCCCGCGCAGCCCCCGCAGGAGCAGCGCGCGCTCTCGGAGAGGCCCCGCGCTCCCGTGGCCAGGGAGCCCCGCGGAGCGGGCAACCCCGAGCGGCGAGCGCGCCCCACGGCTTGCCCTCGCGGTCTGGGAGGCGAGGCGCGGTCCCGCTTGCGCCGCCAGAGCATGTCCACAGCCACTGTCGCGGGAGCGTGCCCTGGGGGACCTCGGGGAGCAGCAGATATGGACATCTGCCCGCCCACGCGGGCGCGCGGACATCTGCATCCAGCTCTCCTTGAGATCCCAGGCCGCGACCCCGCGGCAATGGATCTGGACATATTCTGGCGGTGGACCGTCCGTGTGCGATATCCCATCGACGAGCACCGCGCGGGGCGTCCGCGCAAAGCCGCCGTGCATATCCGCAGGATCGCGGCCGAGGGATCCGGGCCTCGACGCCGTGGCCGTCAGCGCGACACATCTCGCACGCACGAGGCAGCACTGCGGCGGGAGGAGAAGCAGGACCGGCAGGAGGTAGGCCCGGGTGACGACGGCGTTCGCCCCCCATCCGCCCTTCAGAAGTCCTCGGCTGGCCATCGCTCGGACGTCCGTTCCCCGTGCACGTTTCGATGTTGTGCGTGCTCTTGTGGCGAAACGACCCAGGATGCTCCTCGCTGGTCCACGCCGAGGAAAAAACGCACGCGTCCGAGCGATGCCAGGGTCAGGAGAGGCCCCCGAGACAGCCCCAGGAGGCCCCTGGCAGGCCTTCGAGGGCGCCCCCGCCCAAAGAGGAGGCCGCGCGACGGCCGGAAGCCCACCTCACGACGCCGCGGCGCGGCATCATCGCGGCGCTGCTTCACACGCGACCTCAAAGGCGGTCACAGTCGGACCGGGGCTCATGCTGTTCCCATCGTGCTTAGGGACCACGTCCCAGAAATAGTCTCGAGCCCCCAGAAAAGTATCGAAACAGTGCCGAACGAGTATCACCTTCCAAGGGCCCGACACGTGAAAACCCTCCAGTTTCGGTACCTTTCTTGGTGCTCGAACTTCTTCCTGGTGATCAAGGCTAAAGTAGGATGGAGCATCATGAACATCCATCCCTCAAAGCATGAGACCCTCCGCCGGCCAAAAGGAAGAGCATTCGAGGGTCCCCCCCCAGGATGCACAAGAGCATCCAACAAATACGAAGGACAGCAGGGTGCCTTCCCCGAACCGACCTCGATCTGATGCCTCGGTCCGACTGTACACACCGGGTTCCGGAAACCCTGAGCCAGGAATGGAGCCCGAGCCCGAGCCAGTTCCAAGAATAAGGGCTCATGGGAGCCTGTTAAGGCAGCCTGCAGCGTCATATCTGCCTCGCTGCCCCCAAGGAAGTCCCAAGACAGCCCTGGAAAGCCCCAAGGTGGCCCGAGAGGCCGCGTAAAACGGCCCAGGCGCGCCCCCCCAAGACAGCCCCAATAAACCCCCCAGACGGCCAAGAGGGCTCCAAGATGGCTCAAGAGAGCCCCAAGATCGCACAAGACGACCCAAGAAGCCTCCAAGATGGCCACAAGACGGCCGAAGAGAGCGTCAACATAGCCCCAGAGGCCTCCAAGACGGTCTGAAGACGGCCCCAAGAGGGCCCCAAGAGGGCCCCAAACTAGCCCCAGAGGCCTCCACCATTGCTCCCCTCGCGCGCTTCCGCCCACCTCACCCGTCTTGGGTGGTATCGTCCAGGGTCGGCGGAACCCACCGTAAGGCGTTCGCAATATGATTCCTCCTCCTCCTCCTCTTCCTTCTTGTCTTCTTGCTCCCCCTCTTACCCCGCCCGCTTTCCCACACCCCTTTTCACAATCCCCCCTTGCGCCCGGCATCCCTTCCTCCGACATCCTCCTCCCCCTTTTATTATGAAGAACTTCTCCCTGTCGCACCCCCAGGCGTGTCGGTAGGGCAGGCCAGGCGTTTCGCCTGAGACTCCCTCACCCTTTTTATGCTCCTGAAGCCTGAAGTTTGCAACGGCTTCACGGATGCAGAGGGGGCCATGCTCTAAATGCGGCTCTTTCCTTACAGCGGAGACCAATACACAAGAAACCTTCCGCAAGAAACCCAACCCTGAGACCCCAGGACGTCCATTGACTTTTGGTGTGGGAACGTCACGTCTTCCATCGCAAAACAATCGAAACCCAAGAAACCCAGGGCACCCTGGAGGCAAGCAGGGCGTTTCTTGGCATGGCCCCCCACTGCATCGCCCAAAAATACTGCAGCAGCTTCACTGGTGGAGGGGGGCCGTCTCCACAAGAGGTGGCTCTCGCTCCAGCGCCGCGCACGTTCGTCGTGCGGCAGCTTGACGGAGGGAAGGAGGCTCGCCTTTGAAGTGTGGCTCTCCCCACAGCGCCGAGCACATTCGTGCAAAAAGTGTGCAGCGGCTTCCCGGGCGGAGCACACGGGTCGCTTCCAACACACACTCGTGCAACCAGAAGCGTGCAGCACCTCCGCGGATGGAGCACGGGTCGCTTGCAGAGTGCGGCTCTCGCCCCAGCGCCCCACACATGCGCCCGACGAGATTACAGCACCCTCACGGGTGGAGGGCGGCTCCCTTTCAGCACGTGGCCATCACCACGCCGCGCCACGCACCTTCGTCTGTTAAACGCGTGCAACACCTTCACGGAGGGAAGGGGGCCGATTTTTCAAACTCTGGCTCTCGCCCGAGCGCCGCGCGCCCAAAAAGTTTGCACCCGCTGCGCTGATGGAGGGGGGGGGTCTTCAAAAATGTGGCCTTCGCTCTAGCGTCGCCCACACTGATGGGCCTGCTTTCCGCCACCACCACCACCACCAAAGTTGGAGGGGGAGCGGAGGTGGAGGACAAGGAGGAGGAGGAGGACGACGACGAAGAGGAGGAAGATCAGGAGGAGGAGGAGGAGGAGGAGGAGGAGGGCCCCCTCCCCATCACAGACACTCGTCTGAATTTGTTCGCAGCTGATTCACGGAGGGAGGGAGGCTCGCTTTCAGACTGCGGCTCTCGACGTAGCGCTGGGCACACTCGCCCTGAAAGCGTGCAACCGTCTCGCTGGTGGATGAGGGGGGGGTCGTTTTCAAAATGTTGCTCTCGCACCAGCGCCCCGCACATTCGTCTCGTCACGGATGGAGCACAGGTTGCTTTCAAAATGCGGCTCTCGCCTGGGCGCTGCGCACCAGGCGAGAGCCGCATTTTGAAAATGCGCCGCGCACATTCGTTCTAGCGCCGCGCACATTCGCTCTAAAAGCTTGCATCGGTTCCTCTGGTGGAGGCGGGTCGCTTTCAACATGCGGCCCTCGCCTCAGCGCTGCGCAAGTTCGTCGCAACATAATAACAATATGAAAGATGGACGGGAGGCGTTTTCAAACTGCGGCTCTCGCTCTAGCACCGCGCAGATGCGTCTTAAAAGCTTGCAACAATTGCACTGATGGAGGGGGGTCATTTACAAGATGTGGCGGTCGCTCTAGTGCCACGCGCATTCATCGTTGAAAGTTCGCACTAGGTACACAGATGGAAGGCAGTTCCTTTTCAAAATGGTGCTCTCGCCCCACCGAGGCGCGCATTCGTTTTCTAACGCGACGTGTAACATGATGGATGACTGCTCTCTTTCACACAGGAACTGTCGCTTGAGACTTCCTCGAAGTTCATGCCCACAAGGGCAAATTCGTGCAGCAGTTGCACGGATGGGGGCGGTCCTTCTGTGAACGGGGGTTATCGCTGGACACCTCGCTGAATTGTATGGTCACTACGGTTTCGCATTCCTGACTACACGCCGAAACATGCAACGAGGTTTCTTTTCAAAATTGGGCACTCGCCAAAAAGGCAGACCCAACTGTGCTGGTCTTTAGAGGGGACGTATCTTGTAGTGACAAGGAAGACCTGTAGGGGCGCATGAGGAGGGGACTTGAGACGGGAGGATGTATTGCAGCATCGCTCGTGCATGTTTGATTTTATGTGGTCTTTCGCCTCCTCCTCCTCCTCCTCGGCACAGAGACTAGAGGCAAGCTGTGCGGCACTGGCGGTGCCTGTGGTAAGCTGGGCTGCACCCAGAGCGAGCTGGCCTCCTTGCAGCCTGGACAGCTCCCCCATCTCCCAGCCCAGGCTAAGGGCAGGGCCTGGGTCCGGGGCGCTGTTTTGGGCTGCCTTCAGCTGAAACGAACTCGAAAGCACAGCCTGGAGCCAAAACAGCAGCAAATATAATGCTAACGAGAGATGGCGATCGCAGCAATGTGCTGTGGACCAACACGCGCACACCCACACACAGAGACACAGACACACGCATGCCCTGGAATGTATGATATGATGCAGGAAGCCATTGGATAATGTATTGTTTTCACGGACATCCGCGCAGATTTCTTGGGCCTGCACTGGAAAGCCTCCCCACATCCCTTCCCTGGCGCGCTCCGCGCAATGGGGCGGCGTGGAGGCTTCGGGTGGGGGGTCCAACGCCGACACATGAAGTCCGCGCGGAACTCCGAAAGCGGCTGTTCATGCGACGCTGTCCTCGAGAGTGGGGCAAGAGGAGGCCGGGGGGACTGGGCAGACAGGCGGACGGGCAGGCAGGGCGCTCGGGGCTAGTCAGTGCCAGAAGCATTTGTGAGGTGGCCCCTGCGTGGACACACGGATGCAGAGGTGGACACACGGATGCAGAGTGGAACTATGCGAGGTAAACAGCCTTTGCATGAGGAGGAAGAGGAGGAGGAGGAGGAGGAGGAGGAGGAGGAGGAGGAGGAGGAGGAGGAGGGGGAGGAGGAGGAGGAGGAGGAGGAGGAGGAGGAGGAGGAGAAGGAGGAGGAGGAGGAGGAGGATAAGGGGGAGGAAGAGGAGTGACCTCTTGGAGCGACCTCACAAGGGTGGGGGTTCGTGCGTCATGCACCCCCGCCCCTGCAACCGCGCCGCGCACACGGTGGGACCGCACCGCTAGTGGCTCACTGAACTGCCCCGACGGCGGCCCCCCTTGCAGCCATGGCTCACACCTGCCCTGCAGGGGCTGCGCTGGCACTGCTCGGCAGAGGAGGAAGCGGCAGACGACGGCGCACGTCGGCCAGCACACGCGCCGGCTCCGCGCACGCTCCTGGCAGGAGCGCTGCGCAGGAGCAATCACGACTCGAGGGCGCTGGCGAAGACGCGCCCCACCGCCCCCGCGGCACGTGAACAGGCCCGCCCCCTGCCACGCCCGCGGCTGCTGGAGCCCGCTCGCAGACGAGGCGGAGGGGGCAGCGAATCGGCTCACGCAGCTGGCTTTCCCGGCACCCGAGGCGCCTGTGTATCGAGGTAAGCGCCCAGCAACGGGGCTGAAGCCAGCTGCACGCAGCGGTTCCTCCTCCTCCTCCTCCTCCTCTCCTCCTCCTCCTCCTCCTCCTCCTCCATCCTCCTCCTCCTCCTCCTCCTCCTCCTCCTCCTCCGCCTCCTCCTCCTCCTCCTCCTACTCCTTCCCCTTCTCCTCATCCTCCTGCTGTTTCTCCTCCTCCTACTTTTGCGCCGCCTCGGCGCCCTCAACGATCAAGACCGAACAAGGTGGGGAAATGGGGTTAGCTGGGGGCCGTAGTGGCCACCACCACTCACCACTCCGCCCCCCCCGTCTTGAAGGGCCAAGGTGGTGAGATGATGTGGCTCTTTGGCCACGGGAGCTTGCCCGACGCCAACTGTCTCTTCTGGGCCTTGAAAACTTTATCGCAAGGCTCTAAGAGACGTCTGGGGGTGCCCGAGCAGTATGCCCCGCACCTTTTGCAGAAGACAACCCCGATCCCTGACGTGAGGGAGCGGGCCACACGGAGGACATGGGCCTTGCCAGGTCCCGTGCGGATTTTCAGGGCACGCAGACTCGCAGGCTGCTGGTTACAAGCACTGTTGCTACCAGGGGGGCCCTTGAAACTCCTGGCACAAGCAACACACTGCCACCTGAAACCGTTCCACAAAACTTGATGGAGGACCCCAGGGTGTAGGGTGCGAGGGGTGCGGGCTCTAGGGGCTCTCGCGAGGTCGCCTGGGAGCTCCTTGGATCCTGGCCACAGCTCGAGCATCTTACACATATTCTGGGTCACTTTGAGCCGTTTATCAGATTTCAGAGAAGAACTAACCTCTGCATTCTGGGCCTCAGGGTGTGTAAAAAGGTTCCACGCTTAGCATACTCATCCGCCAGCTCGCTACCTGCCACGTTCAACTGTCAAGGTCAGTGAGGCCCTCGGGGCACTTGGAGTGGGCCTCGGCCTTGGTGAGGCAACGCAGGGGGCAATCACCTCCATGGACCCCTCTCCAGACGTAGGCGGAGGAGGAGGGCCCGTCGAGAGCGGAGCACGGAAGGCCGTTACCCTTCAGGACGGCCGCACAATCCACTCTCGCCGCGACAATCTTCATGTTGGCCCTTGCCTGCATGAGGCCTCGCAGCACGATAACATGTTCACCCTGTCCAGGCGTCTGGGACAGGAAACCTGGAACGCGGCCAAAGATAGCCCGCTCGAAAACGCCTTTGGGGTCGGTTGCGACTGCAGCCCAGCCCGCGCGGGCCCCTCCTGATCCCGAGAACCTCGGTCCGAAACAGCTCCCGTCGAAAAACATGTCGTCGTCGCTCTCGAAAACCAAGGGGACAGCATTGCCCGAAGCATCCAGGAATTCCATAAGCTCGCCCATGATGGGAGGGGCCCTGGGTGTCGGGGTAGGCACCCACAGCCTGGCAAACGAAGGGTCGCGGGGACCTACTTCCAGGGCATCAATTCTTAATTCCTCGTCTAATTGCTCCCCCTTTCCCCTGGTCCTTGGCGCTGCACTCCCATGCGCGGTGCCAGGCCGCGTCTCGGGCACGCTCGCGTAGGCTGCGCAACGGCGAGGCCTGGTAGCCCCAGCTGCGGAGCTTCGCTGAAGCCACGTAGCCGCCGCAAAGAGACTGACGGACCAGGTGCCCGCGACGGAAGGGGCGTCTCGGGCTCCCCCAGCAGGTCCGGCGCGGGTGAGCCCAGAGCCCCGAAGGTTGGATCTCAAGCTCCTGCTCCGAGAACTCCGCGTCGCCCAGAGGACGCCCCCTGTCGGCGACAGGCTTCAACAAAGGGGCGGCTCTGAGGTCCTCCAGGAAGGTAGCTCCGGCGGCGCGCGGCGGGGCCTCGGCGAGGGGCATTTCCAGCCCATTGGGCCGACGCACTCTCGCAGGGCGAACAAAAACCCGCGAAACCATCTGGGCCCAGCAGACCGTGTCCCCGAGAACTCCGAAGCGCTTCTTGGCCCAGCTGGAGTCCTGGCGGAGGCAATCCAAACGGTCCTTAGCACTGTCGAAGGCCCTGCTGAGTTCCAAGGGGGAGAGGCCGTCACGGGCCCTCAGGACGCCACGGGCGGCCACCCACCGCTCTCTGCAATATCGACCGAGGCCGGCTGAGGCGCGGCTGAGGGGGCCCTCGTCTGGATCCAACGGCCAGGCCAGCTTCAAACTGGCACCTGCCGAGGAAAGACATCGAGCCGCAGCTCCGCGACGCCGCGCTGTTCGATCTCTCCTGGGAACCAGCCCGCGATGTCTTCTCCGCGGGTCAGACCGGGCTTCGCCCCACAAAAGACCAGCTTCGCCTCCTTCCTCTTCTAGGGCCCCGCGAGGCCTGAGATTTTGACCAAGCGGGTCTTGGCTTTTGCCATCTGGCCTTCCACTTTACTGGGGCCTTGGGCTGGGCACGGGACTTCCCTGGCGCAAAATCTACTTCAAGATTGATGATTGCTGGCTGCCCTCCACCGGGGCCCGCGCAAACACCTAAACTGGCAGTCGCGCGTCGGGGGGGCAGCTCTGAGTTGCCAACCATGGCAAACTTGCCCATGGCAAACGGAAGGCTGAGCTCCGCGGCCATGCGGTCCACTGGATACGCTACTGCCTGCCGCGTTATCGCGATAAGCCGGGACAAACGGGGGCCCCTGTGATCGAGGCTGAAATCGCCAATATGGACGTCCAGGGGGGGCCCAGGTCAGGTGGGAAGGTCGAGGCAACTGGGGGCATGCGGCACGCAATCCCGAAAGTGACTGAGCTCGAACCTGCCGCCATGCCCTTGCGATGAGGAAATATACGCCGATGCCTGGCCAGCCAGGAGCAGCGCCCGCGGCCGCAGGCACGACACCAGGCCAAACTGAAGGGCGATGCGAAACAGGGAGATGATCAGGGCCTGCGTCCACGCGTCGAGGTTGCCAGCGAGCCTGACCAGCACAAAAACATCGAAGGGGATCTCTAGGGCCCCGCCGGACAGCGCCGCGAAGCGCCTGGGATGGAAGCCGTCGATAGCGATGGCGCGGGTCCGGAGAGAGAGAGAGAGAGAGAGAGAGAGAGAGAGAGAGAGAGAGAGAGAGAGAGAGAGAGAGAGAGGAAGAGAAAAATAAAAAAGCGCGAGAGAGAGAGAGAGAGAAAATAAACAAACAAACAGAGAGAGAGGGGGGGGGAAGAAAAAACAAAAAAAAATAAAAAGAGAAAGAGAAAAAGACATAACAATAAAAAGAGAAAGAGGAATAGAAATAGAAAGAGAGAAAGGGAGAGAGGCGTCGGGGCTCCGCGATGGTCGGTGGTCTCGGGATCGGCGGAGAAGGCCGCCGATGCGGAGAGGGCCCCCTCGCGGCCCCCGCACCCCATGCTTGGGGCCAGACGCGCCCCTTCCCCATCCAGGGCTGCCGTCGGGCAGCTGGCGGGGAACCCATCCTCGCAGACGCGATGGGTTTCCTCGCGGCGGCCCTCTGCAACTCCCCGCCCCTCGAGCGCCTGTTCGCACCGGGCCTTCAAGCTTTCTCTGGCGGCTTTCTTTTCCCGCGGGAGGCGGGCGAAGGAGATGGGGCCTCCTGGCCCGGCAGGTCGAAGCCCTGGGTGAGACTGGCGCTGTCAGGTTCAAAAACCCCAAACGAAAGCATCCAACTTGGATCCCCAGTGGGGCCCCCCGCCGGGTCCAAGACGGTGAAAAATTGGGCCTCCAGGCCCCTTCGAAGCCTTCTGGAGCAACCGAAGAGTGCGTTGAGGAAATTATCTGCCCAACTCCTGCCAGCACGGAGCAGCGCGACGACCTCCCGGCATCGCTGGTGGATCCACTGCAAGGCTCGAAAACTGGACTTGGCGCGGCGCTGCTTGATCGTCAGCAGCTGCGGGCGGCGCGCCGACTGGAACTCGCGCGCTACTCCCCCTGGCGCCCCGCGCTCTGGATAAATCTGAAAGATGTCGCATAATTCAACCCAAGCCAGATTATGTCGTTCCTTCATGGTGGATTCCAGGGCCTCTAGAACCTTTTGGAAATCCTTATCGGAGCTCGGAGTCACGTAACCCTCCATCGGGGCTCTTGAAATCCTCCAACACAACATCCACGGAGCCCTCGACGCACCCATGTTCTGGCGCTCTGGGTCGGGAACTCGCTGGAAGAACCGCCAGGGGCCTTTGCCTTTGCACGAGACGCGATGTCTTCTTATCTCCAGGAGAAGCTACCATGTTCAAATAGACGAGCCTGCCCGGAGCAAGCCGCGCCCCCAAGTCTGCGACGCCGTCAGCCACGGCATGCTGGAGCTCGAAAGACACAGCGAAGAAGTCGCAACACTTCCAGGAGCGCCCAGCGACGCAAGTGCCAGGGGGAGAATGGGAACCTCACCCTTGTACTCACGCGGAGGCAGGGCTGTTTCCACTTCGCGGGGCTCCAAGTTGCGGCCCCCGCCCGAGATGAAGGGGGGCCTATGGGCTGGGATGTTGCAGGGCCCCCGGGCCTGGGCGAGAGCGGTGTTTTCCCCGTTTAGACTTACACTGTCCCGCCAGTAGTTGGAAGACAGGGCCACGACATCTGGGTCCTTCAGACATATGTAGATGCTCAAAATGCGGACGGGCCAATCCGCCCACTCAGCTGGGCTGCCACGCGCCCAGGCACCTCGCACCAGGGCGGCTACACCTGCTGACCAGCCGGCGCCTGCGCGGTGGCCTTCCGCCCAAAAGGAGCACCAGCCTTCCTTCGCAAGGGGCTGTTTCATTTCGACGATGCGCTCGGCTGCGAGCATGCACTCTTGCGCAAAGACGACGTGAGACTGACCGGCTCTGATGAGTCGCTCGGCCGAGCCCCAGCCCGAGCCGTTGACCGCCACGCTGCTGAGGCCAGCCTTGAGAGGGCCAGCTCTGGCTTGCACTGGCACTGCGTCGCATGGCGCAGCAGATAGTCACCGCTGGGAGGCCCCTGATGGGGGACTCCTGTCTCTGCCCCAGCATGCCGCGTCCCCTGTGCCGTCGCCCTTGCCGTCGCCAGGCCCCTCGCCGCGGCGGCCAGTCTCGGCTGGCGGCGGGGCTGGGTCGGGCGCCGCGCCCGCCGCGGCGGCCCCCGCGGGCGGGGCAGCTGGGGTCGCAGGCGCAGGCGCACCAGGTGCTCCGACGTTGTCAATGGCCATCCCCTGCTGCTGATCCTGCTGCGCCGCGGCCTGCTGCTGCTGCACCTTCTGGATGGTGGTGACCAGCGCCTGGATCGGGCTCTTCAGGGCCGAGGCCTCCGTCGCCGTGAGCTTCGACGCGAAGGCGCTGAGCTCCGCGAGGAGGCTGGGGACAGAGCCAGCTGGGCTCGTCGCACTCCGCGGCGCGGGCACCCCCGTCTCAGTCGCTGGCGCCAGCTGCTTCATGGCCTCGACATGCTCGGCGATCCTCAGCTGGCACTCCTTGATGCTGCCCTCCTCCGTCGAGAGCTGGGTCTCGAGCTCCACTGCGCATCTACTGGCGGAGCTCCACAATCTCGTCCCTGTGCAGGGCGATGGCGCGCTCGTGCTTGGACTGGGCTGACTGGACTTTCAGCAGCTTCTGGTTCGCGGCCTTCCAGGACTGCCGCGGGGTCTCGTTGCTGTCGCGCTCGTGGTGGAGGACGTCCGGGGCCTCCTCGAGTTCCTGATTCGCTGGGAAGGTGTCTCCCGCGCCCTCGGCCTCCTCCTCGACAACGTATTCAAGTAATTCTGGCAATGAGAGATGTGTTGGCAGAGTTGAGGACCCTGCTGCTGACGCGGCGGGGCCTCCTGGCCCTCGTCGCCCGGGCCCCCCATGGCTGCATTCTGGCCGCGGGGAGGCGGGGGCGGAAGCTTGCCCTGCCAGTGGGCGCCACGCATCCGACGGAAACTGAACCGAAGGTGATCTGTGGCCAGGCAGAACTTGCACCTCCACGACTGAGACTGCTGAGACTGCTGCGGGGGGCTCTTCTGGGACTGCTTAGACCACCCGCCCTCCCGGCCTTTGCCTCTGCCGCCCTTTATGTTCTTGCGGCCCCCGCGCGGACCCTCCGCCCCCCGCGGCATGGCCGGCAATCGATGGGAGAGCGGGCGAAGGCGCAGCGCAAGACATCGCAGGTCCTCCTCCTCCTCCTCCTCCTCCTCCTCCTCCTCCTCCTCCTCCTCCTCCTCCTCCTCCTCCTCCTCTTCCCCCCTCTCCCAATTCCCCCCCACCTTTCGCCCTCGCCCGACCCGGCCGCCCCCGGCTATCGCCTCGCCGGGCCTGCCCCGCCGGAGGCCCTCGTCGGCGCGGCCGCGCCCGCCCCGGAAGCATGACTAGGGCGCCCCCCAACGCAGAGAGAGAGAAGAGAGAGAGAGAGAGAGAGAGAGAGAGAGAGAGAGAGAGAGAGAGAGAGAGAGAGAGAGAGAGAGAGAGAGAGAGAGAGAGAGAGAGAGAGAGAGTAGAGAGAGAGAGAGAGAGAGAGAGAGAGAGAGAGAGAGAGGAGATAGAGAGAGAGAGAGAGAGAGAGAGGAAGAGAGAGAGAGAGAGAGAGAGAGAGAGAGAGAGAGAGAGAGAGAGAGAGAGGAGAGAGAGAGAGAGAGAGAGAGAGAGAGAGAGAGAGAAGAAGAGAAGAGAGAGAGAGAGAGAGAGAGAGAGAGAGAGAGAGAGAAGAGAGAGAGAGAGAGAGAATAGAGAGAGAGAGAGAGAGAGAGAGAGAGAGAGAGAGAGAGAGAGAGAGAGAGAGAGAGAGAGAGAGAGAGAGAGAGAGAGAGAGAGAGAGAGAGAGAGAGAGAGAGAGAGAGAGAGAGAGAGAGAGAGAGAGAGAGAGAGAGAGAGAGAGAGAGAGAGAGAGAGAGAGAGAGAGAGAGAGGAGAGATGAGAGAGAGAGAGAGAGGAGAGAGAGAGAGAGAGAGAGAGGAGAGAGAGAGAGAGAGAGAGAGAGAGAGAGAGGATGAGAGAGAGAGAGAGAGAGAGAGAGAGAGGCCCGGGGAGACGCACGCCGCATTGGCACCTCCCCGCGTAGCAGGGCACGGGGCCCAATGCGCCCCAAAAGGAAAGCACTCATCCTTTTTTTGCCGTCGACGGCCATTGTTCAGAATGGTTTAGAGACCGACAGAGCGAGACCCCTCTATCGGTCAACACAATAAAATTCAGTCCGAGGAGTCGCTCGAAAACCGAGCAGCCTCCTTCCTGAAAGAAGAAGCCGCATCCCCCCCCCCCCCCCGCCCGCGGCAGCGGGGGCCCCGCCCGCCTCCCGCCGCGGGGGCCTGCCGCCAGCGGCGGGGGCCCGGGCGGGGGCGGAGCCAGACCTAGCCCCTTCGGGCGGGGACGCGTCGGGAGAGGCGGGAGGGAGGGGAGGCTCGGAGGAAGGGCGACCGAGAGAGGCAGAGACGGGAAGGCAGAAAACGGTCTCAACCGCAACTCCAACCTTGTCTGGATGTCGCCCCTGCTGGATCTTCTTTCAGTTCCAATGACCTGCGATGGTCGGCCGTTCACAGCGGGGCCCCAGCTTTTTTTGCAAACCTGGGCCCCAGAACTCAAACACAAACACAACAAGCACGTAAACAAAAACGAGTTGGCCGAACACGCCAGAGCAATGACCTTGTGCCCCTGCCTATCCACAACAACAGAATCGAGTCTGGAACGGCCTCTGCACCCTCCAGCCAGCGGCTGGTCGGCCGCTAAGGACCCCCTAAGACAGACACGGCAACGCCACGCACGACTGACGAACTCCCATCGGCGCTGCAGCCGATGAACGGCAGGAGGAGGAGGAGCAGGAGGAGCACGCTCCACCCCAAGGAACTCCACCCGAGGCCAAAGAGGGAGGAGGGCAGCACCGAGGTTCATCACAATCCTGGACACTTTGAGCTTCCTATCCAGGACTTCCGAAAGCACAGGGTCAACAGGGGGGATGACGGGCCACCGCGCGCCTGGCGCCAGCATCCGCTAGCTCGCTGCCTTTTCTCAGGAACATCTCTTCAGACGACAAACCATCTACGTCGGGGTCGAGGTGGGCAGCGACTTTGGCCAAGGAGCGCAGCTTGCCATCACCAGAACATAGACCTTGCAGAAGCAGGCCAGAGCAGGCCCTTTTGGGGGACTCGCAAACCTCGAGGCCTAGGGAGCACTGCCAAGCAGCGTTCGCGCAATCACTGCAAGCCTCGGCCTGGCCTCCTATACAGACCCCGATGCCGCAAAAGGCCGAATACTCAGCTGCCTGGGGAGGCCGCGCATAAGGGGGGGCCACACTGGGGCAGAAACCTCACAGAGAAGACGGGCGTCGGGGCCCACCATGGCCACGCACCACGCACTCATGCAAAGCTCCGAAGCACGGCGACGGATACAGGAGCCGCCGATAAACAAAAAGCCCCAAACGCCGAGCTCAGGGGAGGTAGGGGCAGGCTTCAGGGGCCCAGGGTGAGCGACCTCGGGGGCCGACCAATGCACCTAGACTTCGCCCTTATCCTCAGGACGAGGGAAGTAGTCTCCAGGGTGCCGAAAAGCTCCACGCAAGCAGAGCGGGTGCTCATAGTCATCCGCCTCTGTGTTGAGGGCCGCTGCCAAGACGCCTGCACCTGCAATTTCCTGCCTGCTGTCAGCACACGCAGAGCACTCCCAAAGGCGATGTTAAGCAGTGCCCACCGCAGCGTGGCACAGCTGGCAGGCGCCACTGACCTGATAACCCGCCAGCTTCGCGGAGCTGGCAGTCCAAATAGCGTTGCACGCTAAAGCCCTCGCATTCGGACGATCCTTACGGCTGGCGCGCTTCGGCCTGATTTTGGACTTGACAGTGTCCCAGCACAGTCTATGATCCACACCGAGCTTGCCCCCAGACGACCGTTCGACCCCCCCCCCACAAAAAAAAAAAAAAAAAAAAAAAAAAAAAACGGCGGCGCGACACAAAGCCCCCACAAGTTTGAGAGACAAGAGGAGAAGCTGCACGGTTTCACCTAAGTCGTTGACAATGGTGCAGATGTTGGTCACGTGCCATCCACAACGAAAAAGAGACATGCGCAGAGGCGAAACAGGCCCCCTGACCTTGGCCCACGGCCAGTCATCCTCGTCGAAGGTGACTCCCCAGGCAGTCCTCATTCCAGCGAACGAGAGCGACCCAGAAAAGGCATGCGTTTGAATGAGCCAAAGCTCCTTGCACCACCTAATGACGGGCGCCACACTCACCCTCCAGGGGGGGCCCTTTCCAGAAGAGAAAAACAGTGAGCGAACGGTGCTGCGACTTAGGAGAGACCGTGGCCACGCCCTTGCATCTGAGAGCGCGAGGCTCTCGGTCCGAAAATCACCAGATTTCACATCCGAAAGTGGCGCCCGCCAGCGGGCCCGTGGAACATATTTTAACCGCAGACCTCCCTAAGGCTTCCTTGCGCTTGCCAAGGCGTTTGCATTGACGAAAAAACTTGGCTTGACGGGCCTTGAGCTTAACAGATTTACCCTTTTCTCTGCCTGGAGTAGCCGTGCGCAAAGAACGACCTGCAGTGTAGTCAACGCCGGGGTTCACAAACGAGGCCGAGGGCGCGCCACACAACTCTCCCCCACGCTCTTCCAACTGAATCGCAGTGGCCTCGTGGCTGCACACGCAGCCTATCTTGTCTGGCGCCAGCGTGAAGCCGAGCTCGTTGGCGACCGCCTTGTGCAGATTCACCGAGGACGCACCTAAGGCGTCAACATCTCCGGGAACCGTGCCCGCGTGCGAGAGGCCAGTATCGTCTATGCAGGCGTCAAAGTCAGTGCCTCTAGCAAGTACGATATTGTCGAAAGCTCTGAGCGCGAAAACCCCGATGAAAGATGGCCATTGAACAGCCAGCAATCACCCCAGAACTGACCCAGAAGGGACCGTCGATGATGTCCCCGAGGCTGAGGAACCGGCCGCCAGGGCCACCCTGGTGACGACGACAGGGAAGTCCAGGCCGAGGCGCTGACTTTCGAGGAACTCGAGAGAGAGAGAGAGAGAGAGAGAGAGAGAGAGATGCTCTCGTAATGCTTCTGCAAATCGTAGAAGACTGAGCCAGACGCGAGGCCCTTGGAAACGCCAGCCTCCGCCTTAAAATTCTGCCTCCTGACCGCGTCAGCGGCTCCCCTGTTGGCCCCAGCAGCCCAACGGGGCCCGGCGAAACGCTTTTCCCACTCCAGGGCCAAGGGCCGTCTGGCTCGGCCCCGGAGCCGATGCCAAGGGAAAAAAAACCCAATGGGCCTCAAGCCCCCCGCCGGTGTAAGCAAGAGGGCTAACAGAACCGCCACCGCGTGCTCGGAGAGCCTGCCAGTGGCCTCGATGACCAAAAGAAGCCCAGCAAGGCCCGTGAGAGCAACATCGCACAGGACAGAGAAGTGCCGAAGATGGAACCCGCCCACTGAAACAACGCTCTGCTCGCGGCAAGACTTGCAAACCTGCCTGATGTCAGCAGGGGGCAAC